CCTCCAATGTTCATCATGATGCCGATGCCAAGAGCAGCCAAGCCCACCTTGTAGCTGGTGGTGATGCTGTCCCGAAGCACCCTTGTTCAATGAAAGTCACAGAAGAGTTTAAAGAGTGGGTTTAGTTGGGTCATCTTAGGTTAAATCAAATGGTCCATTAAGCGTTAAGCCAGGGACAATTCAGGTGTAATCATATGGTTTATTTAGGGTCTATTGAATGATCAATTTAGGGTCCATTGAAAGGTTAATGGAGGGTCAATTGAATAGTAAATTTAGGGTCAATTAAATTAGTTTTCTCAATTTAGGGTCAATTTATTGGTTAATTGAAAATTCCATTTAGGGTCTGTTGAATGTTCAATTTAAGGTCAATTGAATGGTTAATTTAGGATCAATTGAATGGTCAATTTAGGGATAATGAAGCACACACTAACTTTTTTTTTTTATGACTAATGAACTGGATGGATACTACTAGGTTAACTGAACTCTATCCATAATATAAAGCTGCAGGTCGTGTGTGAGCACATTTGGTGTGGAGATGGGAACTTAAGGTCAAGTTGATAGTTTGATGTGGGAATTGTTGAACTAAGGTTTAAGGGATAGTTTGATGTGTGAATAAACTTATGGTTTAAAGCACTGTGGGTCGTGACCCCTTGGGGGTCGCACGACCCTTTTACAGGCGTCGCCTAAGATCATCGGAAAACACATAAACTCGACAGTTATAAAGTATCAACGAAAATAATTTTGTGGTTGGGGGTCCCCACACCATGAGGAACTGTATTAAAGGGTCGCAGCATCAGAAAGCTTGAGAACCACTGGTTTAAAGGACAGTTTGATGTGGGAATTAGTGAACTAAAGTTTAGGGGATAGTTTGATGTGTAAATTTGTGAAGTAAGGTTTAGGTGAAAGTTTGAAGATAGATTGATGTGTGAATTATTGGACTTTGAAAACGGGAATACCAGACTGATATAAATAGAATCCTCTTAAATAAAATTAGATGTGAGGTTTTTCTAAAGACTTTTTAAAAAAAATTTGTTCCATAGAAATTTCCAGAAAACTGAGCATATTCAAGGAAGCCCTTTTCAGCAATTAACTTCTCAAACTGCTCCTCTGAGCATTTTTCTTTTTAAATAGTTCAAGTGAAGGACATTTAGTTTATGTTTTAATGATTATTCTATTTAGTCAGTGTTTGATGCCAGGTACTGATATTGTCGACTTTCTCTGTACTGTGATTTTTTTATTGTGTGATCTGCAATTAGGTGAGTCTCCCTTTGGAAATGGACAACCAAATTTCTTTCCTATTTGAGACATTCCGCTGAAGAAAATTTTCATTGAACCAACTGATAAAGCTTCATCTGTAAATTTTATGATTGAAATGGTCTTGCTTAGGCTCTGGATCTAATTGTTTTTTCTTTTTTTAAATATGGGACAGGGGATTTAATGCAACCTTGTGGCACCCCAATACTTATTTCTCTAGTTCATGATATTTGGTCATTCCCCTTGACATGTTGTGAGTGATTTGTTAAAAAGCTCCATATTCACACTTGAAGATTTGAATTTAAACCTAACCAATAAAGCTTTTAAACTATAAGTTGTGGTAGGATAGTGTTAGGTACTGATGAGAAGGGTAAACAATGGGCCGTTTAGGGTATTTCACACAACAACTAAACTATACCATCTTTAGTAGGGTATATCATACAGAAACCAACCATCTACAACATCTTTTGCAGGGTATGTGACACAACAACCACTTACCTACGCCATCTTTCTCCCCAGGCCTTGGTTTTCTTGTTGTATCTGCAAAGCATAAGACAGGACAATGAGCAAAGTCTTAATAAGACAGGATATTTAGGGGGCCCTGGGACTCTTTTGAACTTATTAATCACTAAAGTCAAGTAACCTCTGATTTATTTAGACTTCATAGCCCACCCCCGAAACGGATTAATTTTGTTTTCTTTTTCATAACCTCGTGCGAATGTTATGTCTAAGTTACAAATACAATCTACGGGGAAACTGTCACAGGATAGATAAGCTAACATGCCACAGGATAGATACTTAAAGGTAATATATTACATCGTATAACAGGATGAAGCCTGCATAATATAATTGGTCAAGAAATATGAGGAGAGTTAGTTGTACATTGTTGGCATGAGGTGCAAACAAAAATATCACACAAATTTGACAATTTACTTAAATAAATTAAAATTTAACATTAATTTCAGTCATAAACTATGCCAAAAAATGATTTGTTTACCTTTTTTATTGGAATCCGGAATAGCATCACAATCGCCATTGATGCACAGCATCCAAAGTCCCACAATATATCCTCCATCGAACCACACCTCCAATGTTCATCATGATGCCGATGCCAAGAGCAGCCAAGCCCACCTTGTAGCTGGTGGTGATGCTGTCCCGAAGCACCCTTGTTCAATGAAAGTCACAGAAGAGTTTAAAGAGTGGGTTTAGTTTTTTTTTTTTTTATGACTAATGAACTGGATGGATACTACTAGGTTAACTGAACTCTATCCATAATATAAAGCTGCAGGTCGTGTGTGAGCACATTTGGTGTGGAGATGGGAACTTAAGGTCAAGTTGATAGTTTGATGTGGGAATTGTTGAACTAAGGTTTAAGGGATAGTTTGATGTGTGAATAAACTTATGGTTTAAAGCACTGTGGGTCGTGACCCCTTGGGGGTCGCACGACCCTTTTACAGGCGTCGCCTAAGATCATCGGAAAACACATAAACTCGACAGTTATAAAGTATCAACGAAAATAATTTTGTGGTTGGGGGTCCCCACACCATGAGGAACTGTATTAAAGGGTCGCGGCATCAGAAAGCTTGAGAACCACTGGTTTAAAGGACAGTTTGATGTGGGAATTAGTGAACTAAAGTTTAGGGGATAGTTTGATGTGTAAATTTGTGAAGTAAGGTTTAGGTGAAAGTTTGATATGAGAATTGGTGAACTAATGTTTGGAAGATAGATTGATGTGTGAATTATTGGACTTTGAAAACGGGAATACCAGACTGATATAAATAGAATCCTCTTAAATAAAATTAGATGTGAGGTTTTTCTAAAGACTTTTTTTTTAAAATTTGTTCCATAGAAATTTCCAGAAAACTGAGCATATTCAAGGAAGCCCTTTTCAGCAATTAACTTCTCAAACTGCTCCTCTGAGCATTTTTCTTTTTAAATAGTTCAAGTGAAGGACGTTTAGTTTATGTTTTAATGATTATTCTATTTAGTCAGTGTTTGATGTTAGGTACTGATATTGTCGACTTTCTCTGTACTGTGATTTTTTTATTGTGTGATCTGCAATTAGGTGAGTCTCCCTTTGGAAATGGACAACCAAATTTCTTTCCTATTTGAGACATTCCGCTGAAGAAAATTTTCATTGAACCAACTGATAAAGCTTCATCTGTAAATTTTATGATTGAAATGGTCTTGCTTAGGCTCTGGATCTAATTGTTTTTTCTTTTTTTAAATATGGGACAGGGGATTTAATGCAACCTTGTGGCACCCCAATACTTATTTCTCTAGTTCATGATATTTGGTCATTCCCCTTGACATGTTGTGAGTGATTTGTTAAAAAGCTCCATATTCACACTTGAAGATTTGAATTTAAACCTAACCAATAAAGCTTTTAAACTATAAGTTGTGGTAGGATAGTGTTAGGTACTGATGAGAAGGGTAAACAATGGGCCGTTTAGGGTATTTCACACAACAACTAAACTATACCATCTTTAGTAGGGTATATCATACAGAAACCAACCATCTACAACATCTTTTGCAGGGTATGTGACACAACAACCACTTACCTACGCCATCTTTCTCCCCAGGCCTTGGTTTTCTTGTTGTATCTGCAAAGCATAAGACAGGACAATGAGCAAAGTCTTAATAAGACAGGACAATGAACAAGGTCTTAATCCATTAATTGTCACAGTCATAATGAGATAATAATTCCTTCCTGTTATGTTTGCAAATAATAAAAGTAATTGGTCTTATATTCTTTGGTATGAAACAAACCAGTGATCCAGTATATGCATGGACAAATGCAGTATCTAAGTGTTTATCAAGCTGAGATATCTAGTTTATATGTACAAACATATGGCATTCTATTGATAATCAAGCTGAGATATCTAATGAATATGTACACACATGCAGTATTTTATTGATTATCAAGCTGAGACATCTTAAGTATCTGTACATTTTACTGATTGTCAAGCTCAGATATTTATAGAATATTTACACACATGCACTATTGTATTGTTTATCAAGATAGGAGATCTACTGTATGTACACACACATGCAGTATTTTATTATCAAGATACTTAAGAGGGTGTGGTGCAAAGAGGACTGGGGGGAAAAAAATCACAAATTACTTACGAGAAACACTTAAAGCAAAGCAACCAGGGTAATCTTTGAACAGCTTCTCCAACAGTATGCTTTTCCCGTTCCCAGACAGTTCACTCATAACAATGGATCCAAGTTCTGTCCACTCATGGTGATGAGGTTTTTTCCACAGTTACGTGCTGATTAAAGTTTTTAAAAAAAATATCTGTAAGAATATCGTTGATAGAATATCTAAACAATGAAAGGTTTATACTAGAAATTATATGATAATAAAATGCTCTTTATGGTCTATAAACAACAGAGAGAGTTTTCCTCTACTCTTTGCATATTTCTTATTTTCAAACCGGATTGTGTTTGTTACGGATGGCTTTGGAAACTCAGTTTTTTCATAAATCTAAGTCGTCCCTTTATTTGACATGGCTTGTATCTTGGCTAGCAACTTCCTTCCTGGCATTATACTTATCACATCACAACATCATCATACGTGGCTACCAATCATGCGATTATTATTTCCTGTGCATAACATGATCAAATCATTTCACACACACTCAGGGACATTTCCATCAACTGATAGAAAGAATCCACATTCCCTCCAGGCAGTTTGCCAACAAGTTGATTACTTCCTTATTGAGGAAAGTGGCCCCATTCTTTCAAATTCTTAAGACAAATATAACATGTTCATCTCAATCATCTCGTCAACGCACAGTGTCCACAGTGGTGACCAAATACGACACCTGCAGTTCTATCTTTCAGTGTCCACAAACAGGCCTACATTCACTAACAATTAATACATATTCTACCTATTCTTAACTTCAAAATACTTCCCATGATGCCTTGTAACAAACAGCAACGGTAAAACCCACAAAGACAAGAAGATAAGGGTTAACAGTTTTATCTTAAGGGTAGTGGTGGTGAGGGGGGGCTCCTCAATAGACCCAGCCAGGTAGAGATGGGGGGGGGGCGTGCGCTGATTATGAATGGAGGAATCAACAATCTTAATCTCTTTGATCACACAGGCTCCATACACTGAATGTCATTGTTATCGAGAGAGAGAGAGAGAGAGAGAGAGAGAGAGGGAAAAAGAGAGAGGGGGAGAGAGGAGGGAGAGAAAGGAGGGAGAGAAAGAGAGAGGGAGGGAGAGAAAGAGAGAGTGGGAGAGGGAGAGAAAGAGAGAGAGGGGGAAAGAGAGAGTATTATTACTTAATATACCATATGTTGATACATACTTCAACGTTTGTGACTGTGCTCGAAAGACAGCTCAAGTAAGCGGACCAGTGGTGTGTGCAATGAAGCAGGCTGTTGTTGGCAGGAATTCTCATACAGAAGGGGACTTCCACAGGAAACCGGTAGTAAATGTATGGTGCATAGGACTTAAATTATTAAGAGTGTCCACAAAAACCATGTTATTTCTTCTTTATTAAGGAGATCAGACTGAGCAGAGCCATCATTAATGGTGTGTGCATTCTACCGGAGATTTGGGGAGACAATGGTTAATGGTTTGTCAGATCGGCTGTTCAAGACCATGCCACCCCCAACCCCCCTACAAACACAACACACTCTAACTCTAATGCTGTGAGCCCAGCAGAGGACAGAGACGCGATGACCAGGGGGAAGGTATTGGTAATGACGAGGACAACAGAAGATGTCATATTCTTTAAACCTCATCAACTCGATGTGTCTTAACAAATGATGGGGAGTTCAATAGTGCTGTAAATAACAGTGTTGCGATGACCAGGGGGAAGGTATTGGTAATGACGAGGACAACAGAAGATGTCATATTCTTTAAACCTCATCAACTCGATGTGTCTTAACAAATGATGGGGAGTTCAATAGTGCTGTAAATAACAGTGTGCTTTCATATTAGGTGTTTGTTGATTTTGGAATGTTTCGTTGGCGAGCTGGAACGTCAATTGACCAATGGGGGTGTTAACTGAATGGAGGTGTTAACTGAATGGGGGTGTTAACTGAATGGGGGTGTTAACTGAATGGAGGTCTTAACTGAATGGCGGTGTTAACTGATTGGGGGTGTTAAATGAATGGGGGTGTTAACTGAATCGCGGTGTAAACCGAATGGGGTGTAAACAAAATAGGACATTAACTGAAGGGGGTGTTAACTGATTGGGGGTGTTAACTGAATGGGGGTGTAAACTGAATGGCGGAGTTAACTGATTGGGGGTGTTATATGAATGGCAGTGTTAACTGAATGGGGATGTTAACTGAATGGCAGTGTTAACTGAATGGGGATGTTAACTGAATGAGGGTGTTAACTGAATGGCGGTGTTAACTGATTGGGGATATTAACTGAATGGCCGTGTTAACTGAATGGCGGTGTTAACTGATTGGGGGTGTTAACTGAATGAGGATGTTAATTGAATGGGGGTGTTAACAGAATGGGGTGTAAACAAAATGGGACATTAACTGAAGGGGGTGTTAACTGATTGGGGGTGTTAACTGAATGGGGATGTTAACTGATTGGGGGTGTAAACTGAATGGCGGAGTTAACTGATTGGGGGTGTTAACTGAATGGGGGTGTTAACTGAATGGCGGTGTTAACTGAATGGGGGTGTTAACTGAATGGGGGTGTTAACTGAATGGGGGTGTTAACTGATTGGGGATGTTAACTGAATTGGGGTGTTAACTGACTGAATGGGGGTGTTAACTGAACGGGGTTGTTAAATGAATGGAGGTGTTAACTGAATGGGGTGTTAACTGAACGGGGGTGTTAAAAAAATGGGGGTGATAACTAAATTGGGGTGTTAACTGAATGGGGGTGTTATCTGATTGGAGGTGTTAACTGAATGGAGGTGTTACCTGATTGAATGGGGGTGTTAAGGGGGGAGGTACACCCTGAACACAGGTCGACTACTAAAAAATTCACCAAAAAAAAACTATTTAAGTTACAAGTGTCAAATTTTCACTGAAGCTAGAAGAATGGTCATTCTACCATTATAACACATAAAATAACCATTAGTAGTTGAACATAATAGTTTGCTAACATTGAAAAAAAAAAAGAAAAATGGGATGCTGGAAAATAGCATGTCAGACAAAAAAAATTTGTTAGATTGTTTTAAGCTCAAATTTATTACAATTTTTTAACCATATAGAAATATGGATTAGCTTTGGCGACAACTAGGAAAAATGTAATTTATTTAATTCTTTTTGTATCACAGCATCCCAAAGTATCTTAATTTTGACATTTTAAAATCAAACTTTGATGGATTGTAAAATGTGTACTTATTAATAAATTACAATATCCTTAGTTGCTGACATAGACAAGTATATAATATAGCATCAGGCAAAATTTTAAACAAATTGGTTGATATTTAAAAAAGTTATCATTTTTTATATGAATTAAATGTCGAAATTTTGTGAATGAACGCGCAATAATTTTGTTCATTCAGTAAATCAATTTTATAATTTTAATGACCCCCCTGAAAGATAAGGATGTAATTTAGCTTCAACTTTTGACTCTTCTAACCCAAATTTAAGCCTTCTTCTGGTTCTTCTATCTTCTAAGGCCTTATTCATTTGTTTGTGTGCCTTCGATATCCGCTTAGCACCCATTATAATGAAATAATTGAAAGTAAACTTTCCAAAGGAAAGCTGCAAAATCTTAGAGGAGCCTCCAATACTTTGGATCCATCATTGAAAAGAAGGGTTGCTAAGTCAACACCAATGAGGACAGCTCTTAAACCATGATATTTGTTCTAAGGGCACATTTTCAATATAATATTATTCATTGATTCGTTTGCATTTTGGGTATAAATATCTAAAAATTTACTAAAAAATAATTGGATGGTAAAAGTCTAAAAAATTGGCCTAGTTAAATTAATTTAGGCTGATTCCCTGTAATTATAAACATTAAAATTTAATAAAATGATTTACAGATGTCTTAATTTTCATTTTAATCAAAATGGGAACCATTTCCTCCATATATGTCTATCAATTTAATTTCTGACTTGTTCTGGGTGGGCGTGGCATTTGGTGTTTTCAAGACCACTAAATTCAAAGTCAAGGCAGGAGTAAGTCATAAACTCATATTCAACCATTCAATGGAATCAGATTGTTTTGATTAATTTATTTCATTTAAAATATCCTCATTGGGTCCAATATTAGGCTTAGTATATCTATTTTCATAAAACGCTCGTTTCTTTGAATATTTGTTATCACTAGGCATTGTATAAACAAATTATAACAAAATATTAAGACAATTTTAATATTCACAAAAATGTTTTGTTTCCTTCCATGGAAGCCGCCATATTTAAATGACTGATCATTGTATTAAACAATTATTGGGGAGGTCATCCTTGTTTTAATACAATTGAGATAGAAAAAGAATAAGAATTTTTTTTTGGGGGGGTAAAATTCTGATACACCTCCCTTCTAACAAAAAATGCATATCTCAAGAACTATTTAACTTAAATTAAAAATAATGACATATAATTGTGCAGAATTGAATACACTTTAATTTGATATCAATGGCTACTGTTAAATCGAAAAAAGGCTTTTTTCCATTTTTCACGGTGTACTGATTGTGGGTGTTAACTGAGTGTGAGTGTTAACTGAATTTGGGTGTTAACTGAAAGGGGATGTTAACTGAATTAGTGTTATCTGAATGGCTGTGTTAACTGATTGGGTGTGTTAACTGAATGGGGATGTTAACTGAATGTGGGCGTTAACTGAATGGCGGTGTTAACTAAATGGGGTGTAAACAAAATTGGACATTAACTGAAGGGGGTGTTAAATGAATGGGGGTGTTAACTGAATGGGGGTGTTAATAGAATGGGGGTGTTAACTGAATGGGGATGGAATGGGCATGTTAACTGAATGGGCATGTTAACTGAATGGGGGTGTTAACTGAATGGGGGTGTAAAATGAATGGGAGTGTTAACTGAATGGGGGTGTTAAATGAATGGGAGTGTTAACTGAATGGGGGTGTTAAATGAATGGGAGTGTTAACTGAACGGGGGTGTTAACTGAATGGGGGTGTTTACTGAATGGGGATGGAATGGGCATGTTAACTGAAAGGGGGTGTTAACAGAATGGAGGTGTTAACTGACTGAATGGGGGTGTTAACTGAATGGGGATGTTAACTGAATTGGGGTGTTAACTGATTGGGGGAGTTAACTGAATGGGCATGCTAACTGAATGGGGGTGTTAACAGAATGGAGGTGTTAACTGACTGAATGGGGGTGTTAACTGAATGGGGGTGTTAAATTAATGGGAGTGTTAACTGAACGGGGGTGTTAAATGAATGGGGGTGTTAACTGAATGGGGGTATTAACTGAACGGGGTGTTAAATGAATGGTGTGTTAACTGGATCGGGGTGTTAACTGAATGAGGGTTTCATTTAAATGGGGGTGTTTACTGAATTGGGGTGTTAACTTAATGTGGTGTTAAATGAATGGGGGTGTTAACTGAAGAGGGTGTTGAGTGTTAACTGAATTCTGGTGCTAACTGATAGGGGGTGTTAACTGAATGGGGTGTTAAATGAAGGGGGAGTTAACTGAATATAGTGTTAACTGAATGGTGTGTTAACTGAAAGTGTTTTTGCACTAAAAGGGGACATGGGGGTCACAAACACCTCTTACAGATGTGAATTTGCAGATTACTTTGATCTTCTGTGCAAAAATCTTCAGAACAGTAAACAGCTTAAACATCGCTTGAACTTTTGCTGAAATTTTGACTGAGATCTTGAGGTCAGACAAACCATTACTGCACCAAACATTTTGGTTAAAGCTACTCGCCATGTCTGACCAGCTCCAAAGTGTAAACCATTCATGTAAACAGTTTAACAAAAATGTTTAATACTATCAAAAAAATATTTTAACATGCATCTACAATATACTGAAACCAATTTTTGGAATTAATACTGGCATTTACAACCCAACCCCCCCCCCCAAACATCTCTAAACCAAATTTTTTTTTTTTTAAATCCATCAAGTCCAATACAAGCATGTAGATATGATAAAAGAAGATATGATAAAGTAGATATTATTAAAGTAGATATGATAAAAATATATATTATAAAAGTAGAGAAGATAAAAGTAGATATGATAAATGTAGATAGGATAAAAGTAGAGAAGATAAAAGTAATATGATAAAAGTAATATGATAAAAGTAGATAGGATAAAATTAGATATGATAAAAGCAGATAGGATAAAAGTAGAAAGGATAATTGTGTCGATCAAACCTGCAAAATCCTGTCTAACAGGCGCTCTAGTTTCGCTGACAGGCTGATGCCATTTAACACAGTGGTTCTCAACCTTTCTAATGCCACGACCCTTTAATAGAGTTCCTCATGTTGTGGCGACCCCCAGCCACAAAATTATTTTAATTGTATTCTTGCTTGCAAAGTCACTGTCAGTAAAAAGAGACAAAAAGTATTCTTTGAATTTGGGAGGGAAAATAGCATGAAGCATGCACCATAACTTATGATGGAAGTTATACTTGCTAAAAATGTAGTGACAAGGGAAAAAACTATAAATGGGAACTAACCAAAACTATAAAGCAAAGACAAGTTGTTAACGTATTGTGTGGAAGCGCTTAAGGTATTGTGTGCAAGTTCTTAGTGGGGTATTGT